AAGCGCCTGAGGTCAGTCTCTACTCCTGGTCTAATCGCCACCTAATTGGACTCACGTGTCCCCCTCAGTGACTTTTTACGAGCGCGGCACAACGCAGGAGGGGGGACGGGAACCGACTAGGCCTCTGGAGTCGGTGGCTGCCACACAGGCAGTTGTCAGTGAGTCGGGCGTATGGGGTGCTGAAGCCCCCACTGCCACAGTTTCCGAGGAAGTTGAAGTTGAAGCACCGAAGGGTGAGGTGACGCCGGTTTTTTGAGAACCAGCGATCCTAGACCCAACTCCCTCGCCGAAATATGTGACCACTCCTTTCCTCTCACTGGGCACACACTAACGCGTACGCACAGCAGTGTCGGCGAACTAAGGGGAAAGGTGGCGGAGATGACGACGATGCACGGACTTCCGCACTCTGACGTCATACCCGTCACCGAATCCTGGCTCTAACTGGACATCAACAGAGAGGTGCAGTAACTATTATGGGATTATTCCTCGTGGGCACAGAGCTCAGAGCTGAGGGGAGTGGCTCTCTATGGAAGCTTGCGCTCAAGGGTACGCCTCTAATCCGGCCCCCGAAATCTTTATGGCGCTGATTCATAATTCATCGCATCCTATGCCTACCCTGCGTCATATACATGTCCCCCACCAGCCCCTCTACCCTTAAGAAAGTGGTCACCGAGACCCTCTCAGTAGCTTATTCCACAGATTGCGACTCCATAATAGTCGTCGAGAGCCTCAACATTCCATCCATTTTCTTCGAGACGGAAGAGAGGTAGACTTGATCTTCCAATCAGAAGCTGGAGGATGCATTTTCAGACCGTTGATCTCTGAGAAAAAAGTAGGTGATGCTGCACGTAGGGGACCTGACATAAATGCATCGCATCTAGACCACGTTCTGACGAAGGATGATTTTTTCATTGAAGACACATGTATCCAACCTCCTTTTGGCCTCGGTGATCATGCAGTATCAACTTTCTCCACGATTACTAAGGACGTCCTGCAACCGTCGTTACAGCAGTGCCAACTATAAGACCATGAGAGACTAACCCATGGATGTGTCACGGCCGGTAGACTGGACTCGTCCCACCGTAGATGAGCGTTGGATACAGGTGAGGGTTAAATCGTTGGGGCCATCTGTCGTAGCCTACCGGAGGTATCACGAAGACAGTCAGTGAGAACCCCGTGGCTAGTGCGTGGGACAGATAGGCCACCTCAGCCAAGAAGCAAACTTTTCAAGTGGCATTCATCATATAGCTAGTCTGACTTCTTGAACTGCAAAAGAATTCTCAACCGCCGCATATAAGATAGTGACGGGCTTAGCTATCAAACAAACCTGATATGGAGATTACGAAGCAAGCTTAAAAACCTGTCCCTCTTCAAGTCGAGAGGGACGTCGACCACCAAAGTAGCGAACCTTATCACAGGCCGTGGTGAGGGCGTACGAAGCAGCCTAGAGATAGCTGGGCTTCTCAGCTCGCCCACACAGACTCAGCTTAGTACTGGCACCAAATCTGCACCGATCCGATACGACATTGGCCAGATCTTAAATGACGAATACCCCTGTCACATCTTAATCCAGGAGAAAGTATCGGACAGTCAATCTAGGCTCCTTCCAGGCAAGTCCCCTGGCTGAGATAGCCTGAGACCGTTAATCCTAAAGACTGCACCGAGGCACTCCCGAAACTAATCAACTACTTCCTCAAGCACTCAACAGATTCATGCAAACTCCCTGAAGAATGGAAATGTACAATCTCTTCAACAATCCTCAAAGGAGGAAACAGAAAAGACTCCGGCAGCTGCGGGCCAATCTCTCCACTTCCTGTAGCGTCGAAAGTGTTAGAAAACCTTGTAGCTGACACACTCTTGGAATTCTCCAACAGGGAGGACACCATCTATACTACTCAGCATGGATTTCGGTGTGACCGTTCATGCACCACCAACTTGTTAACTGCCTAGGACGGCCGGACGCCTGGTTGGGACAACGGAAAACCGGTGTATGCTGTTATTACCGAACTGGCCGAAGCACTTGACAGAGTTCCACCTGCAGTCCTACTTGATAAGATTGTGCCAGTTAGCATAAGTCGACCTCTACTGTTTGGCTCGAGCAGTTTTTAGAAGGGAGGCAGCTCTGCACTAAGGTAAACGGAATATGGTCGGAGTAGAGACCACCGACATCAGGAGTATCCCAGAAGGGTAAGTTCGAGACCATTTCTGTTCCTCCTGTTTACCGCTGACCTGCCACACAAAATCTTTCCAGCTATGCTCCTCTTCACTGATGACGTTCCAGTGTGGAGGTTAGTCAACGAAGGGGCTGACCGTACAGCACTAGAAAACGATCTGCAGCAACTTGAACTCGGTCTGTCCGAAAACCGCTAGCTCTTCAAAGTGCAAAGTAATACGCACCAGTGCCTATGAGCAGGGACGTAAGACTACTAGTGTATGTTGTGTTATGATCCACAGTGTGTTTAACGACACAGTGCTTTGACGCGATACGTTCAACCATAGAACAACGACTTCTCAACTCGATATTCAGCTGACACGAGAAAAAAGCGATGGGAGCGAAAGTGTATTTACTCCATCCGAATGATAAAGGCTAAAACTCCAGTCGTTTATACTTCCTTGGATAGCCTTAGCCGGGTAAAACAGAGCAGTATATTGAAAATGTATAATTGACCAGTCATCGTTTAGCATCCCAAACTGCGGGAAAAATAAGTAAAATAGCATGGCGCAGAAGGGGTGCGAAAATAAGGTCTAAGTGTTATAATGACAATATGAACATATCATAAACGAATCATGCATTTGTCCATTCCTTGAATTCTCTCCTGACAACACTGACAGCATATCAATAAGGGACAGGCGTAAACGAGAGGGAGTGAAACCTAAATTTACCAAAGTACTGATTAAAGATATAGCTGATATTTGCTATTCCGACAGATGCAAGACGTTCAACTGAGAAGTTTTACGGCTTAGAAGACTAAAGTTCAACCTGGGCGTTATTTTCGGGATTATCAGACGGTTGAAATAGTTACGCAACAACGACCGTCTGGTGAGCACCCCTAAAAAATACAACGTCAGACATCAGGCCTCTGCTCCTAATACAGCAGGCTGCCATACTCAAACTTCTTAACCACAAAGTACATCACTGTCTGGAACCGATCACCCATTTCAACTAGAAAAGCGTCGCTTCACAACAGTTTTCCTCCCTTCTCAACAAATAATCTGTAGAATGTAACCTAGGATAAATATGTCACACATTAAACGTACGTGACACCATTCAACTTCCATCCGCTTTATACAGTCAAACACCGCATTGCTTTCTTATTTTCTGATACTTCTTTCCCTTGCTCTACGTACATAAATATATTTGCATTCAAATTCCTAGGATTTTGCACTCCTTGCAAAACGTTAAATGGATTTTCACGATTGTCTGTTGTATATCGATTTCACATCCCGCCTAAACCCCATTTACTAAAGCCGAGTTTGAGTGTTTTCAGCACCACTGGTTCAGAAAGCAGTATCGAATGTTGCAACAGGCGAATTCAATTGACTGAAACTTGGCGTACACGTTGGACAAATTCCTAAATTTTGTCTTGGCTAAACACAACTGACACTAACAAGTATACTATCCGTTCACTGACACTCCCCTACGAGAACGTGACGGCATATCTTTATCTATACAACAAATGAAACTAATAAGCGATTACGAATTCCATGAGGTCGAGTGTTTCATAAACAGTCGATTTCGTTTTCCAAGGACTGTAATTGTTATTTTACCTGCCCTATTACAAGGCTAGCTGGCTCTAATTTTTGCGCATCTCCCTTGTATTATGCGCTGATACTGACTCTTTCCCCTTCTTTCTCTATTTTCCTTACTCCTTCTCTCTCTCTCTCTCTCTCTCTCTCTCTCTCTCTCTCTCTATATATATATATATATATATATATATATATATATATATATATATATATATATATATATATATATATATATATATATATATATAGACATCATGTAACCCCGCCTTGATTTGCCACTCCTCATTAACGAACACACTTCCCTACTGTTGATTTTTAAGCTGTTACGGACGTGGTGCATTAGGTCATCTCCCGAAAGTAGTCTATACCACAACTTTCATCTGCAGAAGAGGTCTGACTGAAGAAAAAGAAGACGTAAGCAGTTGGCACGGAAAGAGTTGTATTGTTTTGCTGAATGCTTTTAAAATAATCCCTACCCAAAGCCTAGCATCTCATGAAAAAGAGGTCAGTGACTGGTTTTCAGTCGATCTGACGGTGGGGGCAAATGAGATCTACCATTATCCGATGGACAACTCAGCGGTTGCCACAGGTCCTGTCCATTGATAAAAGGGTGGAGCCTAAAAAATGAAACAAACAGAACAAAATGTGAATGCGAAACATGAAAAAAGCCCTCTTTTTAGAAAAAACAAGGTTTCTCAGCTAAAAACTCCCTGACAGCCGGTGCTACGAAGCCATAAAGAATTTCTCTTGATGCCAGTATGTGTTATAAGGCTGCTAATTTCATAAGACGCCCAAATGCATACTTGAACATAGCGTAAACATGCGTTACGAATGTTATTAAACGTATATACTTATAGCTTCAGTTTTCTTTTCAAAAATCACTTGTTCAGTATCTATCTTTAAGCGCCAGTGACTACTTTCAGATCTCCGCATCACAACTGACATCATTTCGTATTGTCTCACTAATTTCCACCCCACCACCACAACCCCCTATTGCTTCTTCACCCTGCCCTCCCAACTTTTCTGTTAACACCCAGTTATGGCATAATTCAAGCCTTAACTGATGCTAGCTACTATTCTGAGACACCCGTGAACGGTTGTTTTTGTGCACTATCAGGACATTTTATGATATCGCATATGATGAATCTCACGAAGACTGAAGGCTAACGTGCGAAGGAACTACAAAACATTATGACGGCTATCTGTATCATAACACCGAGTCACTTACAAATTTACCATAACCATTACTTTTCATGGAAAGCTCTGCTGACTGCTACTCTCATAGCCTTCATAAGGTACTTTCACAAAACGTTTTCGGACTTCTCTTGCTGTGTTCTCCAGTCTTTCTTCTTCTTTTCTCTTCCGCAGATGCTGCTCTGGAGTCAAGCATGGCGAAATTGATATCACACTTGTCTGAACTACTGCGAGGAAACCACATTTGTTTCCATCCAGCACCAAGTCAACAGGTAGAGAAGCAAATACTTCGTCCTAGTACTTTCGCCGGCCTACCTTTTCCATCCAGTCATGAAATTATATACTCAAGGACTACTACCTAACATCGTAGTGACACGCTTGTAGGCGATTGAACATCCTACGAACCTCCTCTGTGGTCAAGTTATTACTGTTATGCTGCTTGTAAGCTCCTTATTCACAAAAATATTCCTATTCTACAAGTTCTGCAGTCTATATGCTCATACTAAGTCCTAAGCGTTACTTGCGACCGCCTGCCCTTTCGTCATCGCGGTAGTGAATCTTACGCACTAAATTGCCAATCACTCCCCCTTATTTTGCACTTACATTTGTTTATTCTCTCAAAAGCACGACCTAATGAACTCTTGCTTCCTACAAAGCCCAACCGGCCTATTACCGTGAAATAGATATTCTCCCACTTTCAGCTTATAGGATAAATTTGTCTTGACAGTTTTTGATAAGTTGCATGATGCGAATATTACCACCTCCCTGTATATAAAACCAAGTATTTCCAGCAAGGCATGTAACAATTTTCTTGTCACATAATAGGAAAGTGAAACACTCATAATAAGTCTCAAACATATAAAGGCAAATACCGAGTGTAAAGTCAAATAAGACAGTTAAACAAGCAAATAACATTACACCGGCGAGGGTCAAAGGTACACCATCCATAACGAGGGTAAAAATGTTAAAATAAATGTCAATACAATCAAATAAGGGTGATCGGGAGGGATTTTCAGATCATTTTTCCTTTACACCGGCCACCAAAATCCCTCCAGACACGCAAAACACCTCTGTGTATTCAGCCGTGGCTCTATCTTTCTTCTACTCCCTCAAGAAGACAAAGCTTTCTTATATCTCTTCTCACGGTACCTTCCTTCATACGCACCATCACAGTTCTTACTAAATCGTCTTCGTCCTTCTCGCATGTTTCGATCACTCCTAAAGGCCAGGAACCACGTGGTGTTTTTTCAGAGGCCACAATCACCACATCTCCCTCCTTGAAATTTCTTTTTCTTCCCAACCACTTCTGACGAGTTTGCAAGCATGGTAGATACTCTTTCATCCATCGGCGCCAAAATACGTCAGCTAAGTAATTAACTTGTTTCCAACGTCTGACGTAATTATCGGCAATAGTGCCCTCCACGACTATTCCTCCACTATCTCTCAATAACAATAAGCTATTGGGAGTGAGAGCTAACTCGTCTTTTGGGTCGGTCGTCATGGGAACAATAGGACGGTTGTTCAAAATTCTTTCTATTTCCACGAAGTAGGTGGCTAATGTATCATCGTGCAGAGTCTGCTCTTTGGATATGACCATCAATAACCTGCGTACAGAACGTATCATCCTTTCCCATATCCCACCTCGATGACTCGCTTGCGGGAGGTTGAAACTCCATCGTATCCCCTTTGACACCATGGCATCATTGATTCGTCGTTTATCCCACACACTCACCAGTTGTCTTAGTTCCGAAATCGCTCCAACAAAGTTGGAACCATTATCACTGTATATCTCTGCAGGTGTTCCTCTTCTTCCTATGAACCTCATTACAGCCATTATAAAGGCGTCGGTGCCTAGGTTGAAAGCTACCTCTAAATGTATGGCTCGCGTCTGGAGACAAGTAAACACACACCCGTACCTCTTTTCCTCTCTTCTTCCCTGGCGAACCATGAGTGGTCCAAAATAATCAATTCCCACTGATGAGAAGCAAAACCATCCTTTCTGCACGCGACAGACCGGTAAAGGGGCCATCATCTGTTGACCCAGTGCAGCTTTCAATCGTCGGCACTCTATGCACTTTCTTATCACCCGTTTGACCGCACTGATCCCCTTAATTATCCAATAGTTTCTTCGTAGAGTGGCCAGGACTTGCGAAGTACCAGTATGTCCTTCTATAATATGATAATGCCTTATGATCAGCTCAGTCACGAAGTGATGTCTGGGGAGGATAACCGGATGCTTAAAAGTAAGTGGGTAGTCGGAATAGTTCAACCTCCCACCGACGCAGACCAATCCACCCACAAGTATAGGTGACAACCTTTGCAATTCACCTTCTTCAGTCTCACAACTACCCTTTTCTCGGAGTTCCTTTATTAATTCTCCATATACCTCCTGTTGTACCATACATAATACTTTATGTCTAGCAGCTTCCAGTTCATCGGCTGTTAGATAGCCAACATTCAGTGACACACCTTGGCGACGCGAATACATAACGGATATGTAGACCACATATCTCTTAAGCCATGCCACAGCTTTAATCAGCCTCACCCAGTCCGAATGATACGCCAAAATCGGATCAGTAGTGAGCTCAGTAACGTTTGTGTTTGTTCGGACCGACCTCTTCAATTCGACATTTTCCGGTGGTTCCTTCCAGCAGAGGTCTGTGGTACTTGAAAACTGTCGGGTTCCCAGAAAAGAGGGGCCCTGAATCCAACTGTCGTACCTTCAACTGAGCAGAGGTCCTACAAGGACTAGTCTTACTATAGTCAATACCTGTACCATTATCAGAGCCACGGCATGAAATAACATCAAGAGGGACTTGCTTGGTATCTGAGGTCGGATCCATGGACATGTCACCTTCCCCGTCCGCAATTGACTCAAGGAACACCTTGCGATTGCCAGGTACAGCAGTGACGGGTTGTTGAGTACTGTAGCGGCCAGAATCCAATAATCTTGGCCTGAACGCGGGAAATAGCTAGGCGGTGCCAACTGACGTGAATCTGACTAGTTCCTGCGTTCTACTGTATAGCTTCCTAACTTCCGCGAGTGACGCACAGTCAAAGGTTGGATCGAAATATCAAAACACGGTTTGTAGTAATTCAATAGTAGATTCGTAACAAAATCTGTGGTACTATCAAAGCAACAATAAGTTATGTCAAATTACAAAAATACCTCAACAGTGCCGTTGGGTAACTATACAGTCCAAAACGTTCTCGGGTACAAATACGTACTACACGGTAAAAACTGGTTAAAAAATACAACTGTTAAATACCTGTCGGTCAATAGGAATATTCCCGGCAAAAGGGATCAAAACTCTGCCTACAGGAATCAAATCAACAAACAAACGTTCCCAGTAGACAGTCAAAAGACAAACAGTCAAATCACTGCACAACCGTAAGTTGAACCAAAACAAAATGTCGTGCGCAGTAAAACATCACCTTATCAACAGTCCAGCGTCACATAATAGGAAAGTGAAACACTCATAATAAGTCTCAAACATATAAAGGCAAATACCGAGTGTAAAGTCAAATAAGACAGTTAAACAAGCAAATAACATTACACCGGCGAGGGTCAAAGGTACACCATCCATAACGAGGGTAAAAATGTTAAAATAAATGTCAATACAATCAAATAAGGGTGATCGGGAGGGATTTTCAGATCATTTTTCCTTTACACCGGCCACCAAAATCCCTCCAGACACGCAAAACACCTCTGTGTATTCAGCCGTGGCTCTATCTTTCTTCTACTCCCTCAAGAAGACAAAGCTTTCTTATATCTCTTCTCACGGTACCTTCCTTCATACGCACCATCACAGTTCTTACTAAATCGTCTTCGTCCTTCTCGCATGTTTCGATCACTCCTAAAGGCCAGGAACCACGTGGTGTTTTTTCAGAGGCCACAATCACCACATCTCCCTCCTTGAAATTTCTTTTTCTTCCCAACCACTTCTGACGAGTTTGCAAGCATGGTAGATACTCTTTCATCCATCGGCGCCAAAATACGTCAGCTAAGTAATTAACTTGTTTCCAACGTCTGACGTAATTATCGGCAATAGTGCCCTCCACGACTATTCCTCCACTATCTCTCAATAACAATAAGCTATTGGGAGTGAGAGCTAACTCGTCTTTTGGGTCGGTCGTCATGGGAACAATAGGACGGTTGTTCAAAATTCTTTCTATTTCCACGAAGTAGGTGGCTAATGTATCATCGTGCAGAGTCTGCTCTTTGGATATGACCATCAATAACCTGCGTACAGAACGTATCATCCTTTCCCATATCCCACCTCGATGACTCGCTTGCGGGAGGTTGAAACTCCATCGTATCCCCTTTGACACCATGGCATCATTGATTCGTCGTTTATCCCACACACTCACCAGTTGTCTTAGTTCCGAAATCGCTCCAACAAAGTTGGAACCATTATCACTGTATATCTCTGCAGGTGTTCCTCTTCTTCCTATGAACCTCATTACAGCCATTATAAAGGCGTCGGTGCCTAGGTTGAAAGCTACCTCTAAATGTATGGCTCGCGTCTGGAGACAAGTAAACACACACCCGTACCTCTTTTCCTCTCTTCTTCCCTGGCGAACCATGAGTGGTCCAAAATAATCAATTCCCACTGATGAGAAGCAAAACCATCCTTTCTGCACGCGACAGACCGGTAAAGGGGCCATCATCTGTTGACCCAGTGCAGCTTTCAATCGTCGGCACTCTATGCACTTTCTTATCACCCGTTTGACCGCACTGATCCCCTTAATTATCCAATAGTTTCTTCGTAGAGTGGCCAGGACTTGCGAAGTACCAGTATGTCCTTCTATAATATGATAATGCCTTATGATCAGCTCAGTCACGAAGTGATGTCTGGGGAGGATAACCGGATGCTTAAAAGTAAGTGGGTAGTCGGAATAGTTCAACCTCCCACCGACGCAGACCAATCCACCCACAAGTATAGGTGACAACCTTTGCAATTCACCTTCTTCAGTCTCACAACTACCCTTTTCTCGGAGTTCCTTTATTAATTCTCCATATACCTCCTGTTGTACCATACATAATACTTTATGTCTAGCAGCTTCCAGTTCATCGGCTGTTAGATAGCCAACATTCAGTGACACACCTTGGCGACGCGAATACATAACGGATATGTAGACCACATATCTCTTAAGCCATGCCACAGCTTTAATCAGCCTCACCCAGTCCGAATGATACGCCAAAATCGGATCAGTAGTGAGCTCAGTAACGTTTGTGTTTGTTCGGACCGACCTCTTCAATTCGACATTTTCCGGTGGTTCCTTCCAGCAGAGGTCTGTGGTACTTGAAAACTGTCGGGTCCCCAGAAAAGAGGGGCCCTGAATCCAACTGTCGTACCTT